ACTAGAATAATAATTAAAATAACTACTTATACTTCTAAATATAGAAATCTTAATAAGAATATTCTATATATATACTATTTTATAATATAATATTATAGATATATTATATCGTAAAATATTTCGTTAAGATCTCGAATTTATATTAGAAAAATAATATAATATTTAACTTTATTTATATTATATTCGAGTATAATATAATATTACTTAATATAAAATATTCTATAAAATATATTATATCTTTTCGATTAATACGAGAGATATTAAGAATAATTATATTTATATTAATAAATTAATAGATTAGTGAAATTATAGAAGAAATATAATAAAATAGATAAAAGGATTATTATTCGATTTTAGACGCGTTTAATATAACTATTATAATTATTATATTTAAATATTTATTTAATTTATTAATAATAGATTAAACTTTATAATTTTTATAGTGTTAGAAAGTATAAATATTACGATACGCTAAGATCTTCTTTAAAGCTATTATTTATTTAAGTCTAGCGTAACTTAATATTATATATATTTACTTTACGAGTATATAAAATAATAAATATCTTTTTTATTATATATTAAATTATAATATAATTATATTATCTTCTAATAATATAATAGTAATATTTAAAGATTATTTAATAGACGTCTATTAAGTTATTTCGCTTCTATATTAATTATCTACTTCTCTTCTAGAATTCTATCTATCTTAATACTAAGTACACTTCTATATTAATACTTATAATTCTACGAGTCTCTATACGATATCGTCTACGTCGATTCTTTTACTAGACTACTCGATATTATTATAATATTTAATAGTCTTATTTTCGACTTCTTAATAGAGTAAGTTTACTTTATTATTAAGCTTATAGAAGACGTACTCGATAAGATACTCGATAAGTACTTTAATATACTATCGTTACGATAAAAGTAATTAGTTATAGCGCTAAAGTTAATATAGTTATTAAAGTAGAAATAAGAGTATAAGCTATTATAATAAGTAAATATAGAGAAAACTACGAAGAAAACTATAAAGAAAACTACGGAGAAATCTACGAAGAAGATTATAAAGAAGAATAAGAGTATAAATAGTAGTATTATTCACGTATATATAGTCTTTATAATTTCATATTAAACTACTATATAATTTAATAGAGAGTCTCTTCTTTTTCTTAATAATGCTTTATCTTCTATCTTATCTCTCGCCTCTCTTCTCGCCTTTTAACTCGCTTCTCCGCTCGACTATATTCGATTCGCGAAGGATATAAAGATTATAGATTAAGAATAGATATATAAATATATAGACGGCGTATATTTAATATAGCTATTTAGGAATATAGCTACGAGAATATATCTTTTTTTTATTCTTTATAAGTATATTATTATAATACGTTAAGATCTTTTTTAAAGCTATTATTTATTTAAATCTAGCGTAGCTTAATATTATATATATCTACTCTACGAGTATATAGAATAATAAATATCTTTTTTATTATATATTAAATTATAATATAGTTATATTATCTTTTAATAGTAAAGCGAGCTTTATAATTTAAGAAGTTATAAAATAACTATATATATCGTAAGCTAAATACTTTAAAATATAAAATTTCTATATATAAATTTTTAATAAGAGAGATATAAAAGAATTATTAAGTTAACTTAGTCGATTTAATTAAAAAGTATATAAAACTCGAATTTATAATTAATTATATATATAAATCTAATATTTTTAAGCTTAATTTTATCTTATTCTATTATATATACTAATAATTCTAATATTACGCGATTTTTAAAATTTAAATTTTATTAAAAATCGCTAACTAAGTATAGTTTTTTTTTTTTAAATTTCTTAAATATATTTAAATTTTATTAAAAATCGCTAACTAAGTATAATTATTATATAATTTAAATTTATTAAATATATTTTATATATAGAGCGAAATAAATTTCTAAGCTAAGAGTTTCTCTTAGCGCGAAAAGTAATCGATATATATATAGAAATTTATTATTTTAAATAACGAATATAGAAGTAAATTTATTTAAAAAAGATATATTAAAACTCTAAGATTTTTAAATTTTTTTATATATATTTTTTAAATTTTTTATTTTAAATAATAAAAAAAATTAATTAAATATTTAATTTTATTTAAAATATCTTAATTCTAAATAAATTATTTCTATAATTATTTATAAAATTTTAAATTTTATATATAATATTAACTAAGTAATTTTTTTTTTTAATTTTTAAATTATATTAATTATTTATTATAAAAAATAAAATTATAATATAAAATTCTCTTAATATTAATAAATTAGAGAAACGACTTTATATATAAACTTTAATATTTTTTTAAAAAATAATTATAAAATTAAATCTCGCGATATAAGACGCGCTATATAACTCTAGCTTAAGACTATTCGAATTTAAAAAAATAGAGAAATTCTATTAGAAAAAAAGGTATATTTTATTTAAATATTAGTATATATAATAGAATAAGATAGAGCTAAGCTTGAAAATCTTGAATTTATATATATAGTTAATTATTAATTCGAGTTCTATACGCTTTTTAATTAGATCGACTAAGTTAGCTCGATAATCCTTTTATATCTTTCTTATTAAAAATTTATATATAGAAGTTTTATACTTTAAAGTACTTAGCTTATAATATATATAGTTACTTTATAATTTCTTAAATTATAAAGCTCGCTTTACGCTTTCTAACGCTATAAAAATTATAAAGTTTAATCTACTATTAATAAATTAAATAAATATTTAAATATAATAGTTATATTAAACGCGTTCGAGATTAAATAATAATTCTTTTATCTATTTATTTATATAATTATTATTCTTTTATTACTCTATTAATTCTATTAATTCTATTAATATAAATATAATCGTTCTCGATATCTCTCGCGAAAACGTTACTAAACGCTTTAGATATATATATTCCTTTTACCCGCCTCTTAGAGTCTCTACTAACGCGAATTCGTTACTACTAGTAATCGAGGTCGTAAGCGAGCTAAATAGCTATTTACTACTGCTTATAAACGCGTTAAAAAACCCTCAAAAAGAGCTCGAACGGATTTACAGCCATCGTCCTCCCCTATATACTCGATCAGCCACTTAGTCAATACTATCTACCCTATCAGCTCAGTAATCCACTCAATTAGATCGTCAGCCAGTCACTCAGTCATCCACTTAGTCAGCCACTCAGCTAATCACTTAGTCTGATACTCTATAAGAGGAGGAGCAAGAGGAGGAACTACAACAGGCAAATTCGGAGAATACTGCGGAGAAATCAAGCGGCAACAAGGCCCCCAGCACCAAAACCACGGCTCAGCTCTCCAAGATCCCACATCATATGCTCTCCACGGTTCCACATCAAATCATCACTCAGCAAGCGGAGAACACCACTGCAACTTAGCCTGTCATCCCCACTACATTAAGGAGTAAGAGGAGGAACTACAACAGGCAAATGCGGAGAACACTGCGGAGAACACTGCGGAGAACACTATGGAGAATACTGCGGAGAAACCAAGCGACAACAAGGCCACCATCGTCAAGAACACGGCTCAGCTCTCCAAGATCCCACGTCATATCAGTCATCCACTCAGTCAGCCACTCAGCTAGCCACTCAGTCTAATACTCTACAAGAGGAGAAGTAAGAGAAGGAACTACAACAGGTAAATGCGGAGAACACTGCGGAGAAACCAAGCGGCAACAAGGCCCCCAGCACCAAGAACACGGCTCAGCTCTCCAAGATCCCACGTCATATGCTCTCCACGGTTCCACATCAAATCATCACTCAGCAAGCGGAGAACACCACTGCAACTTGGCCTGTCATCCCCACTACATTAATATAGTATATCACTACAATAACGTCATAAGAGAAGGATCTACTGCGACGATCACAGTCAATTAGGTCTCTGCAGAAGAAACATCGAACGATACATATTTGAACGAATTGAAACCGTCCGATGTCTTGCTCTAACAGCTATTTTATTATTCGAAAGATTTCACTGCGGTAGGAGATAATATGGGATTCACACCACTAATTAACATGTTATCTTCATTTCTTTTCGATATTTCGATACTTCTTATCATAAGAACATAGTCTTTCTCTATTTTTTATAGGCAATTATTACGAATTAATTCTCTATACTCGATATACCTTTCTAATTAAATCTTAGCGCGTCTCTCTTTATATATATATATCTATATATAGATTAAAAACGTATAGTAAGCGATTAAAGTTCGATTTAACTTAGAGCTAGAATTAAAATTTAATTTAACTTAGAAAAATTCAACTTTATTTAACTTAGAAAAATGAAAAATTTAACTTTATAAATTTAATTTATAGATCTTTACTTATAATAATTATAATAAAATACGTCTTCGCGCTAAGAGTAGTTCTAATAAAATACGATCGTATTTTATTATTCTCTATTAGATAGAGATAATAAAAGTAAGAAAAGTAAGAGTTTTTATTCTAAATTAATTAGATAAGATAAGATTTTCTTTATAAATATATAATATCTATATAATAATCTATAATTACTCTTTATAGTTTAAATTAAAGCGCGTATAAGTAATAATAGTTTTTATATTTATTTAATCTCTTAAGCGAGCTAGACGCTTAAAAGTATTTAATCTTCATTAAATTCTTTAAAAAGATTAAAGCTAATATTTACGTTATTTTTCTAAATTATTTTAAAAGATTATATCTTTCTAAGAAAATCTATATATAATCTAATTATATAAAAATATTCTCTATCTAATAATAGATTTCTAGACTATAAGAACTCTTTTAGTATTATAAAAGTATGAAGGAAATAATATAATTTCTATATGTACGGCTAATTTTTGGTGATTGCTAAGATCGGCAAGGGGTTTCGCCACCCATGGCGAGGCTATTGATAGATCATCATCCATTTTATTAAAGTAGGTTACCTTGAATCGAGACTTCATATCAAACGTCTACTTTCGTATTTCACGTACATAAATGGTTGACACAGGAAAATGGATCGCTACAGTCGTCATCGGTCTGGCAGGGCGCTCCTTGGCAGTGACCTTCCCAGCTGCAAGACCCAGATCTTCCAGTACTGTCGCCTCCTGTGGTACCGCCGCTGGCAAGGACAGGCTGTGTGCGACTGTAATCAGCATCATTATCACACGTCCCGGTACTGCTCATTAGCGGCGTTGTATCAACGACATATCCGTTGTTGGGATTGATGATGACCGCCGCAGTCGGGTCTGTGACTGTGATTCCACCAGCGCATTTTTGGAGTTGCTTCAAATCGCTGTAGCTGGGCGCTCCCATCCAGAGGTCAAAGTGCGGCTGGGACTGTGAAGTGCAATCGCCGCAGGAATCTTGGACCGAGAAATATTTTTGCAGTCCCTGTTGCTGTGTGAGCTGAGACGGACTGATTTGGAGGTAGCTATGAAGGGTAGGGTCGTCTTGGAAAACAGATTGTGCAGGATTGAGGATGGAATGGTGGGCCGGCACCTACAACTACGTATATCAAGGTGCCGATGGGATACGCATCAAGTGAGTGCTCGCTACCTTGAGCCCCTGTGTAGAGTGTGTTACTGCTTGACGCGAAGCCTAACGTCTGGGTTAGCACCTCACAAGCTCAGCGTGGTCGCACGGAGAAAATACCATATCCCGTGATTTCTGATTTTATAGGTTTTTCGGTAAGGCCTAAGGACGCGAAACATGCCAGTGCTATAACTCGAAAAATGTTGCGTGAAGAAAGCATGGTGAGTGGATGTGTCGGTCTCAGAATTGAATTTTTCCACTGCTGTTTCATTGTGGGATAATTTTGTACCACAGGCTCCTTGATCTTCAACTTTTGTTCGCAGCTCGAGGGGGTAAGCCGACGGCTTTATAATTGCGAAAGGTGCATCTCCTTAGCCCCTAGATTTGGTGTTTCATGTGAGGTGCGATACTACATTATGAAAGTACTGTACAAGGTCCTCAGGTGTGGATCGTATTCTCACATTCATGTCTAAAGATGAAACAGCGGATTTAGGTACTCGTCTCTGACTAAACGACCTTGGACAAGAAGGAAAAGCCGGAAGTCGAAGCAGTTTTCTGTGTGATCTCATGACAAGCTGTCGAGACAGCCCGGATAGTTTCGACTCTCACTACTTGCACTGCTTCTGAAATCTTGCGAGGGTCTCATCATCTTGTTGCCTTGTAAAGAATTGATATCACCCCGAATTTGCGACATAGGTATCGGATCAGTCGTTTCATGTGGCAAGCGTAGCGGCATCTGACCACGTCTGAAATACTTACCCAGGCCCTCTTGCGGCGCATGAAATGACCTAAAAGCCGCGCCAGTCGGCTTCTTGGCAGGGGCCGTAGCCAATCAAAAAACTTCCAATGATGATTTGGGATGCACTATTTTTGTAATAGCAGTGTCAGGCCGAGATGATATTAGCGCAGAGCATCTCTCCGTTCAAAAGTCCCATATTTTTTGAGATTAAGATCTCCAGTGTAATGGCCGCAAGGCTGCTCCTATCCCTCGCCACACTACCCCAATTCCTACTGTTTCCCTCCTGAACACGGCACAGGTTGTATGCGCCACACTGCTAAGCTGCCCCGAATGGACATAGGGTTAATGTTGAAACAGGGGCGGAGTATTATCTCGATTCTTGACCATGCCGGTGTCGATAACCAGATATCCGCGGAATGAACGCTTACGTAAGAGCCAACGGCCAGGAATATTGACAATCACGATCATCAAGTCATTGCTGACGCACTCAGTCTATTCGAGATGCCTAATGAGGCTTTTGTTTTGAGGTCTTCTGTTTTAGAAAATCGAGAGACAGAGACAAGAAAAATTTACCACCATCCTTCATCTCAAAGTGGATTCATGCGAGACTACTTGCCATGGCCACCGGGGTCACGCTTTTCGTGTCGCACTGAGGATTTGTGGGCGCTGCTTTGGCCCCAGGAAGCTCTTGACACCCAGGTATGTCAATACATCTGAGGTATTTTGTGGTGTGTTCTTTTCAAACGCTTTGGAATTCTCATTTGCCAACAACACTAAGTATCTTAGATGAGAGTCCAGCACAACGTTGGTCTTCTCCAATTGAGTGGAAAGCCCGTTGCCCCCATTGATATCCGCTTCAGTCGGTTTCTGAACGTTAATCTTTGACTTGATGGCAGCGAGACCTTGCTTCTGAAACGCCGCAATGCTCTACGCCATGCCGTTACACCTTTTTTCAACTCGTTATCGCTTCCAAAGCCTCTGTTGACCCGCCCCATCCCCGCAGCTTCAACGGCATCCACACTGCGTACTGACATCATATACTCAAGCGCTCTGATTCACCAATAAGACTAACCAAAAATTTCAGGGTTAGAGTGCCGGGAAGTTCACCAAATCCAATTTCAAGTTGGGATAGCTTGGAGTAGGGATCAGTATAGCCGATATCGCATTAAAGAACGACTTCATTGCCGGCACCGGTAATACAGCCATTAACCTCTGCGATGAAGATAATAGGCAAGCGCTAGAAATGAGGTTCTATCCCGAAAAGCTAGATACCAGTGAGGATACTACTGGCGGGAGAGAGTTCCGAAGAAGCGGCGGAGAGGCCATGGATATCAATGTGGTCGATGAAAAAGTCCAGCCTTGCTGAGATACTAATCTTGACGTCGCTAGTGTTTACGGTCTCAGCGACGATTCTAATAAAGGTGAAGAAGTCGGCTGCGAGCCTGTAACTATACAAGTTTAAGGGTGGGTTGTTGATAATTACGCGGATAAAACTGCCCTTTATGATTGTTATCGATAACTGAACACTCGTTACTACTAGTACTTATTCGATCTAGTAATTAATATATAAAGGCTTTTCCTATATATAGATATTCTTCTTTCTTAGATATTATTAAAACTATTATATTTAATAATAGATTTAATTATAGTAGTAACTATATATTTAAATATTACTAATACTAATTAATATACTTTAATAATAGTATATAGATTAACTAGAATATACTTTAAAGAAAGTTTATTTCGATATTATCGTAGTACTTTATACGATTCTATATTACTTAATCGATTTCGCTTATTATAACGATTCGATTAAATAGAACTATAATTTCTACTATATATTCTTTACTTCTTCTTCTTCTTATTCTATTAGACTAAAGCGATATCTAGAGAATAATTTAGAGAAATCGACTTAATATTATTAAATTTCACTAGATTTACTATCTTAATATATTAAAATAACTATTTATTTTTTATCTATAATTACGAATAAGCTAGAGAAACTATAAGAAGTTAAGCTATTAGATATTAAAGAGAAGCTCGAGAAATTCGTTCGTTAGAGAGTATAATAATATATAATATATAAATTTAGAATACTCTCTAACGTCTTTATTAACGACTTTACTCTATACGTTAGAGAGAACTTCGAGATTCTTAGTAAGAACGTTATTATTAGCTTACGAGATTATCTACGAGTTAATAAAGTCTATATTAAGAAAGAGAGAGAACTCTCGATAGCTAAAGAATTAGCGAACGTAATTAAGAAAGAGATTCTATAGCTACTAGACGACGAAGATTATCTCTTATTAAAATTATCTTATTACTATTCTTAGTAATAGCTAGTTTAGCTATAGTAGCTCTATTAATTAATTATCGAGAATATTACTTTAGTTTATCCTCTCTCTACTTTAATTATCGAGAATATTACTTTAGTTTATTCTCTCTTTACTTTAATTATCGAGAATATTACTTTAATTTACTCTTCTCTTACTTTAAGCGACGATTCTTTATATTAGCCTTAATAATAGTTTAAGAATAAGTAAGTTATTTAAGATAGTAGCTCTATTAATACGAGCTAACTCTCTATAGTTTCATATCCGCGTACTATATTAACTCTCAGAGAGCCTACTTTCTCGCTTAGCAATCTCGATTTATCTTTCGCCTTCTAGTATACTTAGTTTCTCGCTTCACTTTTCGTCTCTTAGTATACTTATTTTCTCGCCTCTTAGCTCGTCTCTTCGCTTAACTATATTCGTAATATAAAGAAGCGAAAGACTATAGACTAAGAATAGATATATAAAGTATATAAACGATATATTCTTAATATAGCTATTTAGAAATTTGACTATAAAAGAGAATATAACCTTTCTAATAAAAGATTATCGAGATCTTATAAATCTAAGAAGATAAGAATTTAGTCGATGCGATAATAAAGAATAAGAAATATAATATATTATAAAGACTAGTAAATACGAATTAATTAAATCTAGATTTAAAAGAATAAGTAAAAAGATAAGATATCGATTAATTATATTTCTTTTATCGCTACGAGAAATACGTCTAGTATAATCGAATCTACGTTTATTATAATAAAGAGAGTAATTATAATTATAAAGATTACGAAGAAGAAATATTTAATAGTATATAAATAGTCTTATCTTTTTCGATTTTTGCTAGTATCGATAACTTAATACTCGTTATTACTAGTACTTATTCGACCTAGTTATTAATATATAAAGGCCTTTTCTATATATAGAATTCTTCTTTCTTAGATATTATTAAGAATATTATATTTAATAATAAGTCTTATTATAGTAGTAACTATATACTTAGATATTATTAATAATTATTATTAGAATATCGTAGCCCGAGAGATTACTACGTACTTTATAGAGCGTTTAAATAAATAAGATACTTCGTTAAAACTTAAAAGTATTAGAAAATAGATATATATCTAGTTATAGATAAGATCATTTAACGATTAATAAGTCGAGTTGAACATTAGCGAAGAACCCTGGAGCTGAAGTTTGTGTAGATTTGCCTGTCAGCGGCTGCTGGGTGTAATTGTTCTCTCTATTCAGTGCGGTGCAACTGATCAAAGAAGCAGTGTAAGAGGTTAACGCACTTGGACAAAAGATTCGCGCCGTCGTACCAACCCACATCGGGCAAAGAGTGGAAGACGCTCGTGATACGAGGGATAGTCTACCCCCATTCTCAACGAGAGCCAAAAGCAACCAAGCTAGCACCCCACTGTTTGACAGGCCGTTGGGATTATGGGAAGATCTAAGAACAACACAATGGTCATCGAGACGATGACTATAGCAAGCTCGAAGCCTGGTGCCCCCCCCCTCCTCTCCCCCCCCCTCCCCCCTCTTTTAAAAAATTTTTTTTTTTTTTTTTTTTTTAAAATTTTTTTTAAAATTTTTTTTTTTTTTTTTTTAATGTTATTTTTTTTTTTTTTTTTTTTTTTCTCTTCCTTTTTTTTTTGGTGGTTTTTTTTTTTTTTTTTTTTTTTCTCTTTTTTCTTTTTTTTTTTTAATTAAAAAAAAAAAAAAAACACTTTTTTTTTTTTTTTTTTTTTTTTTTTTTTTTATAAAAAAAAAAGGGGAAAAAAGGAAGAGAAAGGGAAAGGGGGAAAAGAAAGGGAAAAATTTTTTTTAAATTTAAAGAAATTTTTTTTTTTTTTAATAAAAGGGGGGTTTTTTTTTTTTTGGGGGGGGGGGGGGGGGGGAAGAGAGGGGGGGGGAAAGGAACTCTTTTCCGGAGCCCTTTTTGGATGAAATCGAAGTTTTAATAGATAGGTTTAGTAATGTAATTTAAAAGAATAATTTAAAACGAAAAGGATAATAATTTAATAGGCTAATTATATAGAGTAGTTATTAGCCTCGTCGATTACTTATAAATTAAATTACTATTTTATATTATAAAATAGTAATTTAATTATAAAGTTACTCTATACGACGTTAGCGTAATTATTTATT